GTATAAAACTGCAACTTAAATAAATACTTTTTGAGAAAGTATAAAAGCTTTTGAGAAAAAGTAAAAGTTTATGAGAAAGTGTAACTTAAATAAACACTTTATGGGAAAGTGTAAAAATTCATGAGAAAGAGTTAAAGTTTATGAAAAAGTGTAATTTAAATAAATATTTTATGGGAAAATATAAAAGTTTATGGAAAAGTGATAAAGTTTATGGAAAAGTGTAACTTAAATTCGAGATCCGTATAGAGATTATGACATTTCCATAGTTTTTGTCTCAATTTCAGGTTCCAAATATTTCAATTTGGCTATTTATCTTCAAATTTTAGTCTATTTTTAATTCTTTTATTATTTCGAGAGAACAAAGAGGTCCATCGTTAAAAAAATAATAAATTGTGGAGTATTCTAGATCAAGTGTGAGGTAATGTTTTCAAAGCATAGCTTGCACCACTTTTAAAGTACTTTTATTTACTCAAATAGATTTATGTAATTCACTCAAAACCTTTAATTTTGTTTTTTTGTCTTCACTATGCATTTTTTAATATTAGTATATAATACTTTTAATATTTATATTGAATACAATTTCGTTTCGTTGTCTTTATATTATATACACTATAAATTTATTTTTATTTTCTTTCATTGGCTCAAAATACTGTCCGTGCAACGCACGGGTTAGAGAACTAGTTTTCACACAGCAAGAAAAGCTTCATTTCATGGATAGATGTTGTGACTCAACCAACCCGAATAATGACAGACACTTTTGGCATGCACAGCTGAGTTTGAATGTTGATAAAACGTTAAAAAAAACACACATGGAAGAAATACACTGTAGCTGCTGTGAAAAGTGAAAACCACTTCCTTCATAAAGAAGATCACGGCGGCTCCCCAGTTTCCAATCACCCCGGAACCCTGGAAATCCAAATTGAAGATCAATCAATTGCAATCTGAAAACCCAAAATCGCAGTATATACCGATTCCTTGCGGACAATCTGGTTCCGAATTAATCCATTTCCGTTCAATTCATCATCATCATCATCATCATCCCAATCAATGACATGAAACCCCCAGTTTCAGATCTGGCCGGAACAGATTGCGGTGATTATTGCGCCGGGGGGACTGTTCGGTTCGTGTTGCGGAATCGGAGCTCGGAATGGGAGTGAGGGACTCGATCAATAGAACCCTAGTATGCTTCCTGGTGTTTGGGGTTTTTCTAGTAGGGACTTTGATTTACAACGGAACGATCGATTACAGGTCGAGATTCGTGATATTCGAGTCCCCGGTGCGGGAGGACGCTCCCGGTTGTCCTGCCGCCGGGGAGCCTCTGAGGGTGTTCATGTACGATCTGGAGGCCAAGTACAATGTGGGGCTGATGAAAGGCGGCCATGTCAGTGGGAAGCCGGTGACCGTGTCTACTCTGCCGCTGTGGCCGGAGAGTAATACAGGGCTGAGGAGGCAACACAGCGTGGAGTATTGGATGCTGGCGTCGCTGTTGCACGGAGGTGATGGGGAGAAGGATGAAGAAGCCATGGAGTTTGTTAGAGTTTCTGATCCTGACTCTGCAGATGTGTTCTTCGTGCCATTCTTTTCTTCCATGAGCTACAATACATATGTCAGGCATGGTGATTATTCAGAGGAGAAGTTTGATGTCCAGTTGCAGGTTTTTTCAATGCTTCGCTGTTTCTCATATATTGTTTGATTGATATACCCAAATGCTTGATATCTATTCCTGTCGCATAGTTAACTGTATACTTTCTTTTTCAGTTAGTCCAAAACTAAACTTCACAGGACACCATCCATCGATTGCCGATGGAGCTAAATAAGTCGTTATTGACAATGTTTTAGTTTCAGTAGCATAATGGAGTAAATCCAAATGGAACATTAAACTTCACTTGCATTTTACTTTCCGTGAGGTTTTGGACAAAAAATGTTTCAATGCATCTTGGTTCTAATGGAAACAAGGGCCCTTATTATAGTGATAAGACTGCGTACATCTTGACGTTCCCAACGGAGATGAGATTATACAGGGTAGTGGTTGTTGTTGTTAACCTTTCTCTCTTTTCTAAGGAAATTCCAACCATACACTTTAATCTAAAACACTTTTTGTAAACTACGTGAAGTAAAAGCGTCAATTTAATTGTGGGACGGGATGAAGGGAGTAACTTTTAGAGGCAGATGGAAGCCAGGATATAGTTCTGCTACCTAAGCTTGAGGCTTATGTTTTTTAAATGTTCTAAAATAATCCTGCTGCCTGCCTAACTTGTCTCCTTTTGAAATTTACTCCCTCCGTCCTAAAACTTTTTTCCCATTTCAGCTTACGAGGTTTGAGCAAAGTTATTTACCTATTTTCAATTCAGTTTGTTTGATTACAAGTGTAAAATTTAAAAATAAAATTTATGTATTTAAAAACAACATCAAAAGGTCTACAAACCAAGAGATAACATTTCTATATTATTTTATCAAATGATAAATGACAATAGGCAGAAAAAGTGAATAAAGTTTGACCATGTAAGTAGTAACCGGGAAGAAAATTTTAAGCCAGAGGGAGTAGTATATATTAGCTCTTTAATATTTAATAATATCTTCATTAAAATGAATGAAGGGATGGTTTTATGAAAACTGTAATGCTCATTTTATTACTTGTAGTGGTCTTAAACTGCCTCCTGAGTTCTATTCATCCTTTGAATTTATAGCTCAATGTTTAATGCTCATTTTATTACTTTTGCTTAAATTTTGATGTATCACACTAGCATTTTCTATTAATCGTTTGGGTTTTGAAGTGAAGTCATTCTTTTACTCAATTAAAAAATTTGGACCAGCATGATCAATAGATCAGTTAAATGGGTTTGTTGTTTATGCATAACTGTAATACTTAAATTCCTTAAATAAAATGCATGTAATGCATCAAGGGTCTAATGGAAACAACCTATTTGGAATTGGTTATTACATGGGTAAGATTGTTTACATTTTGACCCTCAAGACCCAACAGAGTTGTGATTATACTGGGTTGTATTTTGCATTTAACCTGGCTGCATTTTAGCCTTGCTGAACTTATTGGAATTTATCCTCTTTGCTCCAGGCTGAAATTGTTGAATTCCTTAGGAATTCCAAATATTGGAAGCAATCTGGTGGTAGGGATCATGTCATTCCCTTGCATCATCCAAATGCCTTCAAGTTTCACAAAGCTCAGGTTAAAAAAGCTATTTGGGTTGTAGCCGATTTTGGTCGTGCAGACAGAAATTTATCGAATCTGCGTAAAGATGTCGTAGCGCCATATGTACATGTGGTTGAATCATTTCTCGATGATGACCCTCCAGACCCGTTTGAGTCTCGCCCCACACTTCTCTTTTTCCGAGGGAGGACAGTTAGGAAAGACGTATGTATGATTGGCGTTGGAAGAGCGATACTAATCTTATGCTTGAAAAGCTTGGTCCAACAAAAGTTGTGTGACTTATGTCTGGTTCGCTTTTCTCGTTTTCAGGATGGAAGAGATCGTTTGAGATTGCAAAAAATATTAGCTGGTGAAAGGGATGTCGTGTTCCAAGGAAGTGAAGATGTGACAAATATTGGCATACAAAATGTAAGTACCTATGCATGCACATTTAAATTGAGTTAATTTATCAAATTTCAGACATTCAGTGTGTATTTTGTAGCTATTTGCATTTGATACCTGCTCATATATGTGGATTATCCTTGATTGCCATTTTGCATTTTGCTTTGAATTTTACTCCGCAGTTATTACTCCATCTATCTCAAAACGAGGGTCCTGGTTCAAAAACTTGTCTCGAAGAGACATGTTTTAGTTTTCATGTACTCCCTCTGACTGAAAATAATGTTTACACTTCTTTTTTGGATATCTCAAAATGAAATTTATAGCTTTTCACTTTCTCACCAAGGAAAAGATTATGTGGCTCACTACTTTTCTCTTTCTTCGAAACAAATTTCATCTTATCATTCTTTTGTAGGAAGTTTGCAACGGGAAGAGCATCCTGCTTAAAGCATTGTCATTATGTCTTTTTGCATGAATTTATAGTGTTCACTGATTTTAGAAAATTTAATGACACTAAATATCATGTCACTGCCTTACTGACCACCACAACTATTGGGGTGCTGATAATGATGATGAGTTTATGTTGTCAAGTGACACACCACATCAGGCCATCAGCCAAGATACACTGCCTAAAGAAAGTGAACATATACACTGTCCTACCAACGAGAGGTGTGAGACATGTTAACCCTTTGGTAGGGATTATACCTTTCAAGTGTAGGAAACTTGATCACTAAACCTTAACAATATGGGCAAATGACATTATTTGAGCCGGGAATCTCTTGGAACCATCTCTACTACCTAGTTGGGTAAGGTCTTCCATGCACACACACACCTCCACATCTTATTGTTTGTGTGGAATTTTACTTGGTTTGTTGTTGTAATATAGGTGAATGACAAGTCTATTTCACATTGCTCTCTCCAAATCTCCAATCACCTTTTTTTCTCTGCATTTTATTGTTTTATTTATAGACCTTTTGAACAAGTGTCATTATGCACTTTTTATTTTTTACGACAGTCCACCAAGGGAATGCGCTTATCAAAGTTCTGCCTGCATCCTGCCGGAGACACTCCATCGTCGTGTCGCCTTTTTGATGCTATTGTGAGCCATTGCGTTCCTGTAATAGTAAGTGACAAAATTGAGCTCCCATACGAAGACGAGATCGACTACAGTAAGTTCTCTATCTTTGTCTCGCGCGAGGATGCCAAGAAAGAAGGCTTTATACTGAAGCAGCTAAGAAACATTTCGAAAACACGATGGCTCGAGATGTGGAGGCTGCTTAAGAGCATCTCCCACCACTTTGAGTTTCAGTACCCTCCCAAGAAGGGCGACGCGGTCAGTATGCTCTGGAGGCAGGTTAGGCACAAGCTTCCTGCTGCAAATCTTGATGTACATAGAAGCAAGAGGTTAAAGGTCCCTGATCCATGGTGGAGATAGTTTTTTTAACCATCCTTTTATTGGCCTTGGTTGAGAACAACGTTTCAATCAGCATTAGCGTTTTGGATGATTTTTTAATGGCACAGATTAACTTTGAAACCATCGGAGCTAAACGCTGCCATTAGACAGTCTTTTCAAAACGTTAAAGCTAAATGCTAAAGCTGTTAGTCCCAACACGCGAAGCCGTACACGGCCACAGAAGAATTTCCTTATTATTACAAGATTTTTGTTCCAACGGTTACATCTGGGTCGCGCTTCATTGAGCTTTGATGAAGGAACATAGCAGCAGAGTGAGTTTTTTTTATCGGGCTTCGGGCTTTCTACAAGCAATAGAAGTGCATCTTCTAGTTGTGGTTCCTGGCAGTCTTCATTCTTGGAATAGGGCATTATGGGAAAGTGTGTGTGAAGGTGCAATAAGAGGTGAGTCCTACAGTTTATGTAATGAAAAATATGTGGACCCCATAATGAGCATGCACGTTGATAGTATGGATCATCGTGATGTCATCACCCGATAAAATGATCTCATCTTGATCGTCCATACTATCAACATGCTTGTTATGGAGTATATGTTTTTCGGTTTATGTAACAACATTTGTACCACTCAAATTTATGTGATTTGTGGATAGGGGAGATGAGAAGAAAGGTGATGATAATAGCAGAAAAAAAAAGGGAAAATAAGTAGGGAGTATTTTTTTTTTTAAAAAAGTTTGGTATTATATCATTTAGTATATGAATACAATGAATAAATAATTTTACATATCATTGAACATCTGCTGTATGTTGTTTTTACATATCATTGAACATTAGCTGTGTGTTTTAATTTATGGCATGCTACATATCTTTTGACTTTTTTTTTGCGGTAAATGAAAATTATACGGAATATGAAGTTATGATAGGAAAAAATCATTTTTAGGAGATCACTATTCACCGATAAGTGAAATATATATTCCATCCGTCTTTAAACAATTGTCTACTATGGTTTTTTACATACATTAAAAAATAAATAAATGTGAAAACGTAACCCAGAGTATGTTCATATTCAATTACTCCTTCTGTCCCATTTTAAATTGTCTGTTTCCCTTTTTTCTACGTTCCAAAATAAGTTGTCTGTTAGTTGTTTTCGTAAATTTTTAAAAATAAAATACCTAAACTACCCCTAAAATAAGTCACTTTTCTTCACCTTATCTTCTCATTCATCATCACCCCTTCTAAAAGTAATGTTAATTTCGAAAAATCAACTCTTTTTTTTTATTTTCCTTAAATATGCCCAAAAGTTAAAACAGTCGATTTAAATTGAGACAGAGAGAGTAACTTTTAACGTATGTAAAAAGTTACCCAACAAAAGAAGTAAATTTAAATATTTTTGATTATCTGAAAAAATAAATACAGAGTAAATGACAACGGAGTAATAACCTAATATGCTTGGTGATTGAACGCGAGAGAGTATTTGAGTATATAACTAACAATAATAAATTCCATAAAACATCTCCAGTTATAGTCCGTTTTACATATTTAATTTCTACATATCAAATATTACTAATTTAGTCTCCAATTATTATATCATTTTCCATCAATGGTCCTTTGTTAACGTTTCTGTTAAGAACATGGATAAAATTGTATATTCACACTTCTATCTCCTTAATTAAGCTTTCTCACCTCCGTACTCCTTCCCAAACTCGTCGCTGAGTTTGAAGCTCTAAATCCAAAACTGAAATGATCATTCATCTCTCAATTGAACGTCTTCCCAGTGGAACTTAAAATAAAAACATTTCTGGATGAGTTGTATCGGTTAGTCTCAGGAAATTGCAAATATAATAAATCTTAAAATTCATCTATGAAGATTACTGGTTTCGAATTTGGGTTCCACCAATTAGACAAACAATTAAGAGAAGAGTAATGATTTCGAGTTTGGCATGGGTTCAAGCTTCAAGAGAAGAGTGATGATTTCGAGTTTGGCGATGAATTTGACAAAAGGAGTGTGAGGGAAGAGATGAAGCTTAATTGAGGAGAGAAAGGAGTGTGAATTTTCAATTTTATCCACGTTCTTAACGGAAATGTTAACAAAGGATCATTCGTGAAAAAGAAAATAATAACTGAGGACTAAATTATTGATATTTGATATGTAGGGACTAAATATATAAAACGGAATATAACTAGGAACCTTTTATGGAATTTACTCAACTAACAAATACTCCCTTGTAACCAACTTCTCATTTCTTAGCATGTTTCAAATACTAGTACTCCTTCCGTCCCGTTTTAAAGTCACATGTTTTGACTTTGGACATATTTAAGAAAGAAAAGAAATAAAGTTGACTTTTTGAAATTGTCATTACTTTTTAGGAGGAGTGATGAAGAATGAGAAAATAAGATGGGAAATAGTGACTTATTTTTGGAGTAGTTTAGGTATTTTACTCTTAAAAGTTTATAATAACAAGAAAAATGCAACTTATTTTGGGACGTAAAAAAAAGAAAACAAGCAATTTATAATGAGAAGGGAGAGTACTATTTGTGCTCTAAAAACGTTACGGATCATTTAAAAAAAAAGAATTCATGATTTACAAGATCTTTCAATTAATTACAAACTTTTTACTTATATCACCTTTTAAGCTTTATAAAAGTAAACAAGCAAAACAAATGTGTTAATCACATACTCCGTATGTTCCATTTCGTTTGCGTGACATCTAGTTTTTAGTTTTTTTTCGAGTCCTAACGAATATGCTCTAAATAGTATTCCATCCGTCCTAAAACTATTTTTCCAATTGATAAAATAATATAGTTTTGTCATCTCTTATTTTGTAAAATTTTTTATGTACTTTTTAAATATATAAATTTTATTTTTTAATTTTACACCTACAATCAAATAAATTGAATTGAAAATAAATTCGGTCAAAACTCATAAACACAAACGGGAAGATAGTTTTAAGACGGAGGGAGCTACATATAATTACCGAGTATTATTTTTTATTTTTGTTTTGTACAGTACTCCGGTAGAATTTTGGAGGTAATTTTATAGGATAATTTTCTTTAAAAAAAGACCGAAGGAGCATCCCGCCGGTGACGTTATCTGTCCGTGCACCGGGAAACCTGCTTCTCCGGGCACCTCTCAGGTTAAAGTTTGAAAGCACGACATGGATGCTGCTATTCAGTCCAGCAGCTCAGTGAACATACTACATAATGCTCTCATCGTCACCATGGACTCTCAAAGCCGCGTCTTCCAAAATGGCGCGGTTGCATTTCGCGGCGACACCATCATCGCCGTCGGCCAATCCGCCGACATCCTCGAAGAATTCTCTTCGTTTTCACCTCAAGTGACCGATCTCCAGGGCCAGTTCCTCCTCCCAGGTCAGATCTATGCATCCGCTTATTCAGAATTTTTGTTTGGTAGAGTGATTCAGATTTGTGCCGTTGATTTCTAGGGTTCATAAACACGCATGTCCACACTTCTCAGCAGCTCGGGAGAGGAATCGCCGACGACGTTGATTTGCTGACTTGGTTACACCGCCGCATTTGGCCGTACGAATCGAACATGACCGAGGAGGACTCTTACATTTCAGCTTTACTCTGCGGAATTGAACTCATACACACTGGTGTAAGAGCTTGTTCTCTTCAACTTCTTATTACTTATTACTTATTCTTATTGGAATCAAATCAGAACTTATTCCAATCATGGCAATGAGCATACATATGTGTCATTGAACCAACTCAAAGTTAATCTGTTTTTGTTCGAAACTTGCATATGAATATTAAGTTTTTAAATTGTGTGACAGTGAGGTTCAAACTCGTGACCTCTAGGTCAACAAGGTTGAGATATTTAACGAACCAACTCAATCAAAAGATCTGGTTGTATGTCTATGAAAAACTTTATTATCGAACAATAGGTCATCTTAGGGAGGTGTATGAACACATGTTTTGGGATTGGCAATAGGTTACATGCTTTGCAGAAGCAGGAGGGCAGCATGTGTCGGGGATGGCGAGGGCAGTTGAAGAACTTGGCATGCGAGCTTGTTTAACTGAGTCCATTATTGATTCAGGTGAGGGTTTACCTGCAGCTTGGGCTTCTAGGACTACAGAGGAGTGCATTCAGGTCTGTTTAACCACAAAAAAAGTATCTAGTTTTAATTTTAAATTCATGAATAAATATCTTTAAACAATTGTTCGCTTAGTTAATGATAATTAAATATAGTTAGTGCCTAGTTCAGTACTCATGTTCATTTATACTCTGTATTGTATTTTGAGAATGATCAAAATATAATATCATTAAGTAATTACTTTTTTACAATGATTTTACTTTTTATAGACAACATACATTATTTTTATTGAATAATTGGAAAGTTTATATAGAATAGCAAATTTGTAAAATAAGTGTATTTATATAAAACAAAGAGGGAGTATTTTATCTATATTTAAAATTTCTTTTTATTGAGGACTAAATGTGGAGTAAACTCTACTTAGATAGGTCATTTATTGTAATTCTGTATTTAACTTAACAGCATGCAACAGAGTATCTAACTTACGTAAAGCCACACAAAGTAATAAGTTGTGTGGTGGACTAAATGTGGAAAACTCTCAATTACAAAGGATTGTTATGTAATTTACTCTTGTGTGTATTTACTTGTAGCATACTCCGTAATATTTACCCCACAGTTTATATGTCCAGTCACAGAAGGACCTGTACAAGAAGCACCACAATACAGCAGGTGGACGCATTAAAGTATGGTTTGGAATAAGGCAAATTATGAATGCAACTGATGATTTATTATTAAAAACTAGGGACACGGCAAAAGAACTAGAAACTGGAATCCATATGGTAAGCTATCTCTCTATCATCTACTCTGGTGCTTAAAGAGTTACTACTTACTAGTCCCTTTGTAGAGAATATTGCACCCACCCACCCACACACACACACACCATTTAACACAGTTATATGTTCAGCATCTGTTTTCCATTGTTAACAGTTCTGACGTCCAAGGATGTCTTTACCTTGTGTTTGGATTGAGGGGGAGAAATTTGTAAAGGGAAGGGAGAGTATTATAAATGAGGATAAGAAAATGATCAAGGTCCTTTTGGATTGGCCAAGTTAGTAAATGGTAGGAACATATAGAATTATAAAGTTCTCTCTCTCTCTCTCTCTCCTTTTGTGGACTTTATATTACTGGCTGAATGGTAGACAAAAGACAAAGGAAAGGAAGTTGAGTCATGTGAGGTGCACTGCCCTAAAAGTACTTGAGGCATGTACTCAATTTTTTCCAGAACTCACAACATTTATCTTAAAAAAAACTGGAGAAAAAACAGGCGGCAGAATATTCATAGCAATCACTCGAATAAGATAGAGTATAAATGTGTCGTGTGCATCAAAGTCACACCAAACTGATACAATAAAAGTCTTTCATGGACATTGCCAATGTAGTTAAAAGAGTCATATTTGACAATGTTTTAGATTCATTTAATGAGGTAAATAATGAACACAATCACTACATTACAGCAATGCATCACGGGTCTAGCAAAAACATGTTTTTTCCACAAGGGTAAAATTGCTAACATCTTGACCCCCATATCCCAACGCAGTTTGGTCTATACTGGCTTTGTTGTTGAACTTTAGATGTTTTTGAATTTCACAACTTATTTTTTCGGCATTTAGCATGTTGCAGAGATACCTTATGAAAACCAACATGTTGTTGCCACAAGAGAAGTGGATCATGGGACTGTTACACACCTTAAGAATATAGATTTTCTACAGAAAAACTTGCTAGCGGTGCATACTGTTTGGGTCAATAAGGATGAGGTGAAATTCCCTTGCATTTAAACTACCTTCCCTTCCTATTAGTCTTCTTGTTTGGTTGAGCAGCTAAACTTCTATGTTTTGTTGGGTGTATTGAGACATGCTATTTTTTGCTTTTATTCTCTCAGGTTGACTTTCTTTCTGATGCTGGGGTTAAAGTTTCACATTGTCCAGCAGCTGCAATGCGAATGCTTGGATTTGCACCCATAAAGGAAATGCTCAATGCTGGGATTTGTGTATCTTTGGGAACAGATGGTGCACCATCAAATAATAGAATGAGCATTGGTAATTAGATACTGTGTACTATTTAATTTTTAGTCACATTGAAGCTCCTTTGGTTTTGTGCTGTTTTTATTAAAACTATTTCATCTTGTGGTTGGAACGTGAGAAACAGTTGATGAGATGTATCTAGCTTCTTTAATCAACAAAGGTAGGGAGGTTTTTACCAAGGGAACCACCGACCCAACAGCTTTGCCTGCCGAAACCATTCTGAGGATGGCAACAATTAATGGTGCCAAATCAGTACTATGGGACAAGGAAATAGGCTCACTCGAAGTGGGGAAAAAGGTCAGTTGTATGATCACACACACACTTGTCAGGTTCAGATCAAATCACATGCAGACATGTGTTAATAAATTGATTAAGATTACCAATATTATTTTAAAAAAATTATTCAAAAAAAAAACATGTTTGCTAGTATGTGTACTCTCTCTGTCTGGATTTGGTTGTCCGCTTTCCAAAACTAACTCATTTTTAAAAATGAGATTAAAATGTCAATTATGTTCTTCAAATGATTTTGTTGTTTATTCATGTCAACAATGCTCATACCATATCCGTAGGATATTTTAGACATTCATCATCATTCCTTTATTGAATATGAAAAGTGGACAACTAATTCCCGATGAACGAAAACAAGAAAGTGGACAATTCAATCTGTCGAATGGAGTATATGTTAGAGTAAAGAGGCTGCTCTAAGTAGGAAGGTTCAAAGATTTACTTCAGATTTTGACAATTGGAGCGAATATTTTTCATTACTTGATAGGCTGATATGATTGTCATCAACGGTTCTTCTTGGTCTATGATGCCTATTCATGACTGGTAAGTCTCTCTCTCTCTCTCACCACACACAGACACTGATTGAAACCAAAATATGAAGGGAAACTAAAAAGATAAATTGTTATTAATTCATGAAATCAGAATCTAATTTCACAAAATAATAAATATGAAGATACTTCTTTGTTAGGGGATAAGTAAAGTGTCTTGAACTCATCCAACTAATAAAACCCAAGAAGATTCTAAATTAAGTGAAAAACAAGTTCATTCTCTACTTATCTCAATCCACAAGTGGATAAGCTCCAATTCGATAAAAACAATATACAGTATTGATTTGTTAAGGCATCTTTTACTTCTCATATGGCCAGCCTGTTTATAAGACTGAAACATTCAGAAACAAATAAGGGAGAAAGATCAAAGTAGGACTAAAACGTTGAAAATATACTAAAATAAGACTTCTATGTTTTTATTCCCGAAATAGGACTTAAAATGCATTTACATTACCAAACATGGTCATGTACATTACCAAAAAGTATATGTAATGTGCACGTGTACAGTGCCACATTACCACAATACAAAGTCCTATTTCAGGAAAAAACATACAAGTCCTATTTTGGTACTTTTCTCTATGTTTTAGTCCTATTTAGAGTGATTTCTAAACAAATTAAAACAATAAAACAGAGATAATTTCTTTCGATCATTGATATTGACTCCCTAAAAATACTCCTAAAACTACCCCATTAGTCCACAACTCAGATAATGGGAATAATAACTACCTAAAATTAAACATATGCAATTATTAATTAAATCATAACAAACAGAAAAATCTAAAATAAATAAAGTTCCCAACATTTTTCTATTTTCTCCAAACCATCCACTATCTCACTCATTGGTATTCTATATCACACACACACATCCATATGCATTGTCTGATATTGGATCTCTCCCCTGTTTGTGCAGCATTTCCAGTCTGGTATATAGCTTGAGGACTGAGAACATTGTGTCCCTCATGTGTAATGGGCGTTGGATCATGAAGGATCGAAAGATCTTGACTGTGGATGAAGTACTTTTGACTTCTCCTTCACTCTTTTTCCCATCTTGTTTGGAGTATCTTTTTTTCTCTCCAGCTGATGAATGCTCAAATGTTTTTTCTATGTGCAGCCAGAAGTTATGGCCGCGGCTAAGCATGCCTCCTCAGAACTTCTTAGGAGGGCCGGGATCCACATTCCGGCCAGAATGAGTGTGATGTGAAGGGTCAACGCGTAGGGCCCACATCATCGGCTGAAAGGTATAAATGTTGTAAGAATTGATGTACGATAATAAATTGTAGATATTGCTCGAAATTTACCCGAATTTGCAATTCGGGTAAATATTGTAAGTTGACCAGCTTGTTTCTTGGGAATATGCAATTTAAAGATGTGGAAACCCATGGTAAAAGGAGTGGTTAAAGCAATACCCATGTTTTGTACCCAATGTTTTGAATTCCGTGACAGTATGTTTGGTTCTTGGAATTCAAATGGAGAGAAAAATAGTGGGGATTTCTCTCCTTTTCCTTACCAAAACAAAAAGAAAATCATTTTCCTTCTTTTTAGTGCATTTTCTTCTCTTCTTTTTCTTTCTTCCTATTTTTCTTTCTTTTCTTCTCCAACCAAACAAAGTTATTTTCTTTCTCAGTTTCTTTTCTTTTCTCATTTTTCTTACCAAAATGGGATAGATTTTGTTTTCCTCTTAGTTCTTGTCTCCTCATTTTCTTTTTTTTTCTCTTTCAATTTTTTGAAATTAAATATAGTGTTAGGATTTACTTGAAGAGAAAACATTTATACTACTTTTTCTAATTATTTGTCTAATTTTGACTTTTTTTTGTTATAAAAAAATGACAAATTTTGATTATTAATTAAATAAAATTGATTACTCCCTCCGTCCCAAAAACTTCTTCCACTTTCTTTTGTCCCACAAAGTCCTTCCTCTTCATATTAAAAAATCACTTTTACTTCTATTAATTTTTACCCTACCTATCACATCATACCTTTTTACTAATAATCTATCTAGTACATCTTACTTTTACCTGTCACATTAAGGATATTTTTGAAAAATCACTTTCTAAATCTTTCCTTTGAATTTTCTAAAAGTCAAATGGAAACATCATTATAGGATAGATGAAGTATTAGTTATTAACAGAAATAATAATATTATATTTATTATAATATTTGCAAAATATTATTTTATATAATTAATACCATATTACCATATGCTTTTTATTTAATTATTAAGATAAAAAATTGAACGCGCAAATACTCGAGATCGTATTTCTCAAATCACATTCCAATTTAGTCCAATGATAACTCCTATTCATAATAGGACATTCTTAATCATCAAAATGATGGATTAGGCATAAAAACTAGGGAAAGTAGCCTAACTTCCACAAGAATTTTTGCTAGAAATATAACAAGGGTATTAAACTTCAAACAAATATTCTTATAAAAATAAATTACAATCCATTCAAGACTTTAATGAAGGATTCCTTCCTTTTTTCACTATTGTAATTCTGGCCATTTCTTATACGGAGTATCAATTTAGATTGTGGAAAAGGAAAAATTATGGCCAATATCTTGTGGAAAAGGAAAAATAATGGCCATTCCTTAAAACAATTTTGATTTGGAAAACTTATGATTTGAAATTTGATGAAGAGGAAGTGAAAAATTATAGCCATTCCTCTAAGCTTTCATGGTCGCTGCAACAAGCTTGTTTGGAAGTACACAAAGAATGTAATGTTTTCTACTCGGTCAGCATGTCATTTATGTTTGCATATTAAAAATAACAATCACGTTAGAAATACACCAAGAAATGTATCTTATGTTGTACCCCAAGGGATTTACCGACATTTTCACGGTTCACACTGATATAAAATGCTAGTGTAATAAAAAATTTACACTGATATTTTATTTCATTATAAATTATTACACTAGTATTACACTTTGGTGTAGGCATTTGGACTCTTTGGAGTATAAAGTGGAATATAATTTTTGGAGTACAAATAACTTAATTTTAAAAATTATACATATATCTTTATATATCTAAAAATATACTACCTTCATCCTAGAATATTTATCTAGTTTAACTTTTTCAAATCAAACTTGGACGAACTTTGAACCTTTTAATTAAGTAAAAAATATAATGTATATTAGTATAAAAATAATTTTAATATATTTAACTTGTTTAAAATTTCAAAAAATTATTCAATTATATTACTCTAGGACAATGTAAATTGAGCACGAGGAATACTCTAGGACAGACGTACAAACTAGTCTTTGTACTCAATATTCCCTTTCCCTTTCTCCTACCTTTTGTATTATTTTTTTCCAATCAATTTTGCAATTTTGCCTTAATAGATGTGAAAAGTCAAACTAGAGCTTTGAGAGCGCGCTTTTACGAAAAAGAAAGGGAGAAATAAAACAGAGAAAACACGTTCACATCGGATATGCAACAGAAGATGGCAAAGTCATTTTTCACAACATCACCCACAGTCATTCAGATATAAAGACCATATATTTCTTTTATGTTGTCGACAAGATTTTAACCTGGAAAACAACATACCCTATTCTGTTGAAGATTCCGGAAGGGCAACATCGTCCTTCTTCGCAGCGGCAGCCTCCACCTGCTTGTACGCCTTGGAGATGTCTTCCACGGGGACCAACGGAACATAGCTGAATATCTCATAGCCCTTTGCTTTCATGTCCTTCACCAACTTGTTGTACTTCTCGGACCAGTGGGCGGCGGTCGGGGCGGCAACCTCTGCCGCGCCGTGCAAGGCTGGGGAAAGATTTATGTGGTACCATATCACCGCCAGCTGGCTCACTCCAAACTGTTTTGACAGTGTGCCGACATGGGTGATGGCTGCTCGTGGGCCCGACACTCGGGCTTCTTGGATCAGATCTTGAGCCACTTGAGATGCCTTTCCGACAACGATTTGTGCTTGGGTAAAGAGCTTTTTGGCCATGGGCGGTGCACGTTCATCAAACATCTCCGTCACTTCATCCACCTGATAACAAGAGTCCATGAGCCAAGTACAAAAGAAGGTTCATAAAAAAATATTACACCGTGTGAATTTATAAATTTGAATTAACATTTTATAATGGGGGATGAATACATTTTTGGTAAGGAGGATCTAATTATTTATATCATGCAGGATACAGACACAAAGGAAAGGCAAACAAGTTTGGCCTCAACTGGAGCCAGAAAGATGAGCTTTGCAAGGTATAACTAAATACTACCCCTGTCCTTGTTTCTGCCAACCCAAAAAAAAGTCATATTGGACTAAAGCACAACCTTTTTTCTTTTGATCATGAAAAAGAAAACATCCCCATGAACTACATTTTAAAATTATAAATTGTGTTTCAAAAAAACATCCCCATGAACTACATGGCAGATAAGAGAATATAATAGCTGTATTTGATGGGTTACATTTTTTATATGGGAGAGGTTTTGGAACAAAACCCTAGTATTGGAGGGAAGAAGTATGAAATAATAAGAACTTGCAAAGTTCAACTTATAAAACACAAGGTCAATTGAGATTCAACTACCACTTCTACTTGAGATAAAACACCATCAAACATTCTGGAAGTTGATCAGAACATAACTACGATACCCATTACTGACAACACATACATGCAAATTTGGTGTCATGGCACAAATGGGCATTCCATTACTAAAATGGAATATAGGTTAATAGAAATAAAATGTCTCCCAAGCTGTTGGTAGTGTGCTAGACTGCTTGTCATTTGGTATCTCTGGAACACTAGGAATAAGCTCGAACATAAGAATTTGACTGTTGATGAGATACCTCTGATATTGCCATATGGGAAAAGGGAGTATGCAATCCTTACGAAATATTTAAAGGAATGGAGGAAGCACCCCCTTTGGGTCAAAAATAACATTGACAGGGCGTTAAGAAGTATGGTTTAGCTGTTGGAGGAGGTTTGATTAAATATGAAGATTTGTATATTGCAAGGTATTGAACTTCTATGGGGCTGTTGGAGGACTTTGCCTAAACAACAGGCCTCAACAGATTCGTGTAAAGCTTGTGATATGATGAGGATCTCAAAGATCAAAGACGCGACTGCTACCAGCTTCAAGAACCTACTTTTTTTTAGACAAAAAGGGTTACACAAGAATATAGATGCGTTTCTTGGTCATTCCCTAGATGTCCTGTTGTGAGAACTATTTCAGGTGGAAACAATCTGGTATATTTGAATGTTTTTCAAACAGATGATAACTCATAAAAGGACAAAACATATTCTCTGTTTTCAGCTAATAAGAACAAATGAATCGCCATTAATCACAGAAAAGACGAAATTCAATTCAGCAAAGGTTGAATAACAGATCTGTACGATCTCACACAATCCTATATTCAACAAAAAAAAGAATAAACGAACAAACAAATAACGAATGAATCAAATCAATTTAAAAAATACGGAGTACCTTCTTGTCGAAAAAAACGAGGACATCATCGGGAACGTCCTTGAATTTCTCGCAGACAGGCCTAACAACCGTCGTCACGGCGTTTTCCACCGTACCGACGGTCGATTTCAGCGGCCCCGAGTTCTGCTTCGCGTACTCGTAAAGATTCGACACCAAACAGACAGCCTTGAAGGTAAAAACCTTCACGAACCCTAGATGCTTCAATTTCCCCTCACGCTTCTCCATCTCAATCTGTACAAGACGATCCAAAATACATATCAACAAAAACTAAAATTCAAATCTGCCAACGAAGAACAAATATACGGAGAATTAATCCAAGATCACCTTCTCAGTAGCCATTCTCTCGATTTCTTGAAGAACTAGAAGAATTGACGATTGACGAACTAAAGAAGAAATGCTCGATTTCGGCGATGTATATAGAAATCCACGCGTTCGGTTCCGAGAGATTCTTAGATCGAGAAGATTCCGTCAATGCAGAGACGCTGTTTTCTAGCGGAACGTAAAGAAGATTCTGGAAGGGCGTTTTGGAAACGTTTGGGCTTCGAGTTCGACCGAAGAAATGCTAAATCCAGCCCACAATTGAGTTTTCACATCCCATATCTAATGATAGGCCTGTTTATGGCCCAGGTTTAAGCCCAGACCGATCAGGGATCGGTCAAAATCAAATGGAATAGTATTTTTTTATTGGACATATTTCATTCGTTCTATAAAACTTTTAATAAATTTTTAGTTTAAAAGTCTCAAAAAACTTATATTCTCCGTCCCAATTTAAGATGATATTTACCACGGAGTTCTTGATTAATTTTTGCGACTTATCTCAGAAAATAATGTTGTTTTATCAAATATGTTTTGTATTGCTTTTGATATAGATTTTAAATAAATAAATTTTATTCTTTAATTCTTTACCAATTTTCAAATATATTGAATTAGAAATAATTTCAACCAAACCGCGAAAACAATAACATGTCATTCTTTTTAGAACGGGAAAAGTACTTTATTGTTTCATACTCCCTCCGTCCCGCAAAAAAGTTCACCTTTCATTTTTTTTCGTTCCAAAAAAAACTTCCCATTTGTCATTAAAAGTCCATTATACCCCTCCATCCCAAACCCTAACCAAATCTAACCTAACCCACCCCCACCGTTCTAATCTTCTTCTCTCCTCTTCGCCTCTTCCAATTCCTAGACTTCCTCTCATCTTCTCCCCTCTTCTTGACTCAGATCTAATCCCTCCTCCCTTTTCCGATCTCTTCGACGGCGGCGGCGTTGATGACTCCTCTGAGACGGATCCGTTGAAGACCATCCGCACTCTTCTTTGCCTCCGTCAATGCCTTGACTGGACGACCCCGCGGCGGAGGGCGCCGGGGCCCTTGGGGACGACGGCTGAGCCTCCGAAATATGCGGGTGTGATTGTCATGGACGCCATGGATAGATCGGAGTGCTTTTTCGTGGGGAGTGTTTGGGAGTGGAGAGATTTGGGGGGCATTTTGAGCAAGTCAAAGCCAAAATATCCCCTCCTTATTTTGGGGGACTATTCCAAATGGGAAGTTTTATATGAGACAGAGGGAGTATTTTTTTTGTAATGAATATGTAGCTATCAAAAATCTCTTTCTCTCATATTAATTTTAATCACACACTTTTTATTTGTTATTATAACAACTTTTTAAAACATTATCAATAATTTCTTTGGGATGTAGGGAGTATAAGCATTAAAGCACCAACATTGCACAAATTGGAGGTAAGAGCAACTCCAATGCATTGGCTATATTGTAAAATATACACTTTTTACACTTTATTGTTCATTTTACAAGGGATAGTGTAAATGTGATGATAAAATGCACTATAGTGCAAAAAGCAACTCACACCTCTTATTTCTACAAGCTCTTGTAGATAGGGAAAAGGGTTTTTAAAATTACTTTATGGCCCCTTTTATCTCTCACCACCCCCTCTCCCTCCTCTCTTTATCATTTCTACTATCTCCTTCAATCCAAAATCACTCGTGTTGTGCTCATTCCCTTTCTTAGGTAAATTGCTGGAATTTATATTAATTGTGTTGATCGCTTATTATGAAATGGAATGACCACCAAAAAAATTAAAAAATGAACAACTAATTATTTAGATATTTACTTTTAAATAAAATTATGATATTTTTAACAATAGATTAATTAGATTATACAAAAAAATTGATTCAATTTTACACAAAATAAAGGTGATTATAAAAATAAAATGCTCTTATTATAAATAGTACTCCGTAATTATTATGCATAAAGAACTCAAAATAATAAAATATTACAAGTGTATAATATAAAAGATATGATTGGAGTGAATATAAAAAAGTAGATGTTTAAAACATTGTTGATAGTGTAAAATTGCATTTAGACTACCAACTTTTACCCTATCCCTTGAAGATGCTCTAAGAGCATCTCTAAGGGAGATGCTAAAAATGGAAAGCTAAACTTTACTTTTACACTATCTAGAGTAATTTAGATATTTACTTTTGTTGACAAACTCCAACCACATCTTCTAAAATTTTGCTATTCTCACTCCCATCTCTACCCCCCTGCACTCTGTCACTCCTGTAGGCCCCAAAAATCTTAATAGATCTAACAATAATCAACTCTCTTTTCATTATTTTATTCAAATTTTTTTTAGCATTTCTACAGTAACTTCTATAAATGAAGGGTGTAAAAGCATATATAGATGATGCTCTAAATTTTGGAGGCTGCGTTGGAGCACCAAAAACACCACATTAGAAGCTATAAAATTCATTTTTAACAATATGGCTGATCCATTGGAGATGCACTAAGTCGTGGTTCATCTATTTTTTTATTTTAATTTTGATTCGATCTGATTTGGTGGACCGGTTAGAATGTCTATTTACTTAAAATATGTTTCTCTAATTATTTTTTCAATATAAATTTTTAAGTTATTTATTATATTTAATGTTACATTAAGTTTAAATTTGAAAGTTTATTAGATTAAATATATTTTTGGTCCTTGTGAAATTAGTGAGTTTTTGTTTTAGTCCCACAATAGTTTTTTTAATTAAATTATTACTGCAAAATTATTATTTTTGTAAATAGCCCTCTCAATTTATATATATAGTTGAGTCCCTCTAAAATTTATAAATTTAGTTTTCAATTCCTCCAAAATTCTTTTAGTTTATTCATTCATATTTTAAAAATATTAAATACTCTGTAATCAATTAATTTATTCTTTTTATTCAGAATATACTTACAAGGTCAAATTCAATGAAGTATTTTTAGGAGTTTAATCAAACAACTCTAATATCATAAATTCATTCATAAATTTTATAAACTAATACTTCCTCTATCACAATAAATTGGGGAAGGACTAATTGAAAAAAATAATAATGTTGCAAGTAGCAAAAACTTATTTAACCCAAGTTTATGTAATGTTGTGTGTTTGTTTTTCATCATAATTTATTTTTAAAATTGCCTAATTTGATATGATCAAAGTCGTAGTTGTCCCCAAGGGGACGAACGACTAGAGCTCACACAACCTCCGCTAGGAGACAATCTCTAGTTGTATCCTCTTTTCAAGGAAAGCATGATCATGCGAGGTATAACATTTTTGCATGAAAAAGTTATCAATAGAAGAAGCCATATCATTAAATAATAATAATAATAACAACAACAATAATAACAATAACAACAATAATAATAACAACAACAACAACAATAATAATAATAACAACAACAACAACAATAATAATGATAATGATAATGATAATGATAATGATAATAATAATAATAATAACAATAATAATAATAATAATAATAATAATAATAATAATAATAATAATAATAATAATAATAATAATAATAATAATAATAATAATAATAATATGCCCTCTTCTTGATGCATCTAAAAGCTCTCTTTGTGAAACGCCCAAAAGTCGAGACACCCAAAAACGACCCTCTCCCCACGAGGCAATAAAAAATGGTACTCCTATATCATGAACCCAATTTGCAAGACACCCATAAGCATTGTGGTTGAAAAGAACTATTGTGGTGGAAAAGATCTCTGCTACGTGGTTCTTTGTGATAATCAAAGCCTAATCGCCTTGTGAAATTATTTATTTCATAAAAGAAGAAAGCATATCAATGTGAGGTATCACCAGATTAGAGATGCACTTGAAGATGACTGTTTGAATTTGATAAAGTTCGTACCGATGATAATTGTTCTGATATATATGTCGACAAAGGGTGCGTTCCGTTCATCTGCGCTCCGCTCATCTGATCTGATTTTTTTTAAGATCTGGTCTAATCTGATCGTAGTTATAATTATAGTTGTTCTTGATATGGTCTGATCGGGTCTTGTTTGATCTAATTATAATAAGAATAATTAATAAGCAGAAAAAATAAGTTGAACGGAACGCAACCTAAAGCTCTAGCTAGGGAAAATCGGAAGGTATGTTGCTCTATCTCCGGGATGGCGAACTCTTCCTCATAGGCAAAAAAAAGGGGAAATTTGTTGGGTTATTTTTAGCCCATAAGGAAAGCCCAACCTTTTTTCTTTGGCCCACTTAAATATCTTTGTTTCATAACCATATCTTTGATGAGTTCAGTTACTACACACAAAAGCAGAGAGAAAAAGAGTGAAAGGGGGGTGAAATCTCGTTTTTTGGAGACGTAGCTGCAGAGTTTGTTGATTACCCGGAGATTTAAACATTGGATTTGGTTAATCGGTTGCGGAGGTCGAGCTTCACAGCCTTGTTTTGCTACAGTAATTTTGTCATTGGTGATCCTGGATTTGAAGCGGGCCTAGGGCCTGTTTGGGAATAGCGTTAGCGTTTTGAAAAAGCTATCTACGGGCAGCGTTTAGCATTTTCAAAATAATCTACACCGTTAAAATTTTATCCAAAACGCTAACGCTAATCTCTAACGCTATTCCCAAACATGCCCCTAGTAGTTCCGTAGATTTTTTTACTCTCGTGTTGAGGGTTGTCTCTTTATAATTACTTACATTGCATTTAAAATATCCTAATTTTTTGCATCCTAAAAGGTTCATTCGAGAAGGGAAAGTTTAGCAAAACAAAGATTGATTCCACAATTGTTGTTCACCGTTTGTGGCTGTTTTCCCATCACAACATTTACCACATATAATATAGCAGCAACAATGACAAACCCAATACAATCCCTATCCCAAAGATGTCTCCGTTAGACCCAATATAACCCAAACCTCACATAGCAAAGAATGGATGCAAAGCGATGAATTACTTCACTTCTGAACAGTTATTTGTCCCAACCGGCTCTCTCAAGCAAGATGATATTGCCATAACAGCAGATTCGATAGAAGCATCTTCACCCTGTTCAACATTAACCCAACAGGTAAGAAGTGGCGATTCTATACGGAAACAGGGAAAAAACATGAGATTGGAAATATAGTTTCACCTTTTCTCTCCAGTAAAAAATGTTTCCATATTTCCCAGCCAAACGGCTCCAAAAGCTACGTGGTATGTCTAGATCCACTGAAGCTCCAACATTGAAGTTCAGAATATTACCTGCTCAAGTATAACACAGAAATTTAAGCTGAAATGTAGCATGTTTAATTGCCTGATCAAGTAGATCCACATAAATAGGAAGTGATTATTTTTTATCGACTCACCAAAAGTAGGATCAGCAACAAAAACAATAGTCCTGTCATCCACTCCCCAGAAATTCTTGATTGCTAATCCTGTGGATATTGGCAAGAAAATTCCATTTTTTTAGCTAAAGATTTGAGCGAATTTCAAACGCTAAGACACCAAAGAACGCACCTGGCGTATCGGGGTAATTTTGAGCCAAAATTCTCAACTTGAACCCAGTATCTCTTTCTATATCTGATATCTCGCGCGCAAGTCTTTTTTCCTGCAGAAAAAATCAGAAACTCTTTTTAGATTTACAGTTTCTCTTTGTACTTCAAATGAAATTTCTTTAACAAAATGCAGTATGAAGCATTTACTACCCAAAACTTCATCGAAATAAGAAATGAAGTTCAGTGTACCATATTGATATAGTACCGAAAGCTAAAAGTATGTGAATAATGACTCTTGTAGCTTCATCACTAATGCTTCCATGAGGGCAAAAAGGCAATGAATGTTGTTTAAAACTCTTTTTACTAAATTAAAACTATCAAGTATAAAACGTAAAGAACTTCAGTCTTCCGAAATACATTAATGATATGAATTATATATGAGTTTGGGAAGTAAAATGTTAGAGTTTAACCAAAAAATGACAAGAACACATCACAGGAATTGCCAATTGGTTAGGGCGGTAGAACAAACCTGGCCATCAGAGAGAAACCCAGCAACATCAATAACAGTTGTGAACTCATCAGGAAGCAATTCCGGCTTGTTAACCCCAACCCTTTCCTCGCCAAATGCAACTCCTACAAATTTCACGTTGTTTACTAACATCAACAAAATCCATGTAAAGAAAAAATTATCAGAATACGACTCCCTAAAATATGAAATTATCATTAAACCAAAGAAAAATTTACATCATTACTCCCAAAATTGTGTAATTTTACATAAACACTTCGAGATTCAATAAACGACAACGATACTCCCAAAATTTTCATTTGTTTACATCGCTGCTCTATGAACTTACATATGTTTATATCTGTACTCCGAATGTTGGGAATTTATAGCACTGATGTAAACATACTGAAATTTTGGGAGCATCGGTGTCATTTACTAAATCTAAGAGTATTCATATAAAATCACGCAATTCTCAGAATAATGATATGAATTTCACCTTAAAACAAAACAGAAAGCATTAAAATAAATTAATGAATAAGGAGCACACAATCAAAGAAGCAATTCCGGCTTATTAACCCCTACCCTTTCCTGGCCAAATGCAACTCCAACAAATTTCACCTCGTTTACTAACATCAACCAAATCCATGTAAAAAATTATCAAAACACAAATTCCTAAAATGTGAAATTATCAGTAAATCAAAACAGAAAGCATTAAGAGAAATTAATGAATACGGAGCACACAATCAAGGAAACGGATATGCTTATGATTTTCAAGAGTAAAACGAAGGAGGACTGAAGATCAGCTGTTACCTGAGAGAGACATGGCGAGAGCCAGAGAACCAGAGACGAAGAAACTCGAAGTCTTGGACCGGATATCGGCATTCACTTTGACGATGCGATTTGAGGTTCGGATGCGATTCCTGAAAGGGGAAAGGAACGGTTTGGTGGTGTGAGGATGATCTGGAGGTGAAGGAGATATGCAGAGTTGAGGAAGGAGCTTTGTGGCCATATTCCAAGATCAAGTGCGGACTGGACGCTGTGTTGCCATTTCAGAATCGCTCTGTGTCTAAAGCGCCGGGGAGTGGTAGACCCCATTGACGGCGGTCGAGAGGAAGTTCCCGACTTACCAGTTGCCATGGGTCCTAGCGTGCTTTGGAAATTCTCTTGAGTTTTGCTTTGCCCGTGGATGGATATTTGAGCCAAAAATTAAACTAATGACTTTTCTCTTAAAGCTTAATCTCAATTAATTAAATTCTAATTTGATCGTATTTATTTTTAAAATTATTCCTGGTCTGATCATATTTTAATAAGAATATATTACACCGTAGGTAGAAAGAATAAGTTGAAGAATATGAGCTTTAAGACTGCTTTCAACTTATTTTTTTTGATTAGTATAGCAGATTAGATTTATTGAAATCAGATCGAACTCAATCGAATTTACGAAAAATTATCCAAAATAATCTCAAATTTATCTGGTATTTCTAAAATAATTGTATCCTTCACTATGATGCATAATAGTCATAACTTTACTGAAATTTGTGAGTTTTGAGTCGCCGTTAAATTGCTAACACCGGGTTAACGGAAACGACCTGTTTTGCGCAACAAAATAAAAATTGGGATTATTTTTTTATGAATTTTCATTTTTTTAATTTTTTTGAAATTTTCATTTAAATTTTTAGAATTACTTCCTACCTCCATTGAAATTTTCATTTATTTTCATTAAAATTTTCATTTATTTTGGAAAAATTATCTCAAATAATCTCACCTTTTTGCGCTCTTTCAAAAATATTCTTACTTTTCACTGTTAGCGGAAATAATCCCAGATTTCCGTATGTGTGCGAGTTTTGGGTCACCGTAAAAAAACTAACGGCCACTTAACAAAAATTTTAGAAAATACCCATTTTTTGCAAATATATGAAAGGTGGGATTATTTTAAGCAAATTTACTTTTTACTTTTTTTAATTTTAAACTTAAAATTTATATTTTTAAAAATATAACAGTACACTCTTGTAAAGATTTGTCTAGCGATTTACAAATTCTGTTTTCTATTTTGGGAAATATAATATTGAATTATCAAAAATAATTCAGAGTATCGATCAAAAAAGAAATTACAATACAACAAAATTGTAGTTAGTTATAAAATTTATTAGTGTCGTTTAAAACACTTTTGTGCCATTTTCACAACTTTTGAATTACTATTTTGAGAAAAATTTGTACTGAATTATCAAAAAAATTAAAAATTAGGTAGTTTCATTTTATGAAAAACTAAAATAGGCAATAGAAGATTATCAATAAAAAAATTTCTATGATTAAATAATAATTATTATACAAGTATATAACGTTGAATAAACAATAATGTGGCATATAATTAAATTGAGACAGAGAGAATACAATTAAATAATAATAACAATATGGAGAGAATACAATTAAATAATAATAATAATAATAATGTTATACTCTGTATATGATTAAATAATATGGAGTACTTACTATTGTTATTACTTAAAAAATTTACTACGTAATAATTATACTCAGTAATAATTTTAATTTTAATAATAATAATAATAATAATAATAATAATAATAATAATAATAGTTGTACTCTTTTTGTTAAAAAAATTCATTTTATCTTTGCGAAGGTTAAAAAAATGTAATAGTGATACTCCCATCGTCCCAAATATATTGTCCTTTTTAACATGAAAAGTTCTATATATTTTTGAAATTGAAATAAAAATAAAAATCATGCAGTGCAACTTACGTACTTATAAACCGTTTTCCCACTTATGGCCCAGTGGCCCACTATCTTATAGTAAAAAGATATTTCAAGAAGGGTAAATCTATTTGAACATTATAGTTTGACATCATATATTTTACAGGACAAATGATGATTATCTATAAATGCTTGTGAAACAGTGTCAAACTTTGGTGTAACTATAGCACGGTATCTTTTCAATAAAGCCAACACAAAATTATCTTGTCCAAAATACAGCAAAAGGATCATGCTAGAACCCACCACAGGTGTCTAATCACAGATAATTTATGCATACACAGACGATAATCATTTGTCCTTCACAAGCGATTATCGCTTGTATATGTATAAATCATCTATTATCCGCGGGGGCACTCTTGTACCGTGAAATCATGTTGGGAACTTGTTTGGGTAACCCTAAACCTTAAAACCACTAACAATTACTACAATCCTTTGCACACCAATAAAGAGAACAGGACATGCATATCCTTAGAGAGAAACTTATTCAAATTTGTATGAGAAGCTAAGTTAGTGCCGCATACTTTTCATAATCTTTGCGTGATAGGATTATTATTGGCATGCAATACCATCAAAGCTAAAGCAAAGACTATCTGTCAAAATATATTTACTGAAGAAAGGCACTAAGAGCATGGGCAAAGCCTCCTTGTATGCTTATGTGATCCACTGCAAGAAAGCAGAGACTGTGATGTGGTATACAGGCATGCCCCTGGATTCTGCAAAACAAAAGGGAAACATAGATGTTATAAGGGTAAACGGTGTTTTAAAATATAGTCCCTCCATTCCATATTACCTGTCTAATAGCACATTCTTGATACATTTAAAAATGAATAAATTCAGACATACGTTATGTCTACGTTCATTCATTTTTCAATGTACCATGAATGTCTTATTAGACACTTAATATGGAATGGAGGGAGTATGAGATAGCGTGAAGTCGTTTGGAGCTCCGAGAAGGATAGGGCAAGAATGCAAGATGATAGAGAGGAAATTAATGTGGGATTTTGTAAGGGAAGGAAATATGGAGAAAAATAGCACGTTGGTTTTTTTTAAATAGCATGTTTGTTCAAACTCAATAAACTTTGATATCTGCAAATTTTTTAAAAGGATAAATCACTTTTTATTTTATGCAGCATTTTCAGAGGTGAAATGAAAAAACTTGGCATTTTTTTTACTAGCCTTTTCCTATTTTGCATTTTTGTCTAGCCCTTTACTTGGTACAAACATACCCTTAGTAAAAGTGGTGTTGTTCATTTGACACCGGATCCGTTTGGGAGCCTTGCCGTGCTTTGTTGAGTCCCAAACCGGGACATATCCCCTCCCTAACAGAGCCGATTCCCCCCCCCACTGTTCCCTTTCAACGTCAACTAGCCACCCTACATAGCTGCATCCCTATACCAATCCCCTGGTCCCGAGCCAAACAGAGCACTGTAGGTCCCCCAAATGGCACAGTGTCATAATTTGGTACCCAACACTAGTGAACAAAGAACCGCACCATAGTAGTAAAAGTTAGACAGTAAATAGTCAGACCACAGTACTCAGTAAAAAAGGAACACAGAGAAAATGACACGGTACTGTTTTGGGAATCTATGGACAAATGTCTGATCAAGGCATTGACCCCATCAAAGCATTCGTGTATGGAGCTTTTTGGTCTTGTTTGTTTGAGGGTACCTTTTACCCAGCATGTATAAACTAAAGCAGTCTTCCAACAAACGTGTAAACATGGGACTGCACTTTGTACTATCATGATATAATTGGAAGCATAACACATACAAAAACTGCAGAATAGATAACACACATGAAGACCGGAGAGTACTATACCATATCTCTAGGAGAATCATCAACTACTTCAGCAGGTTGGTCAGCTCCAATACTTGCCATGCACCCGCCTTTACACCTCAAGTATTTTTGTACCCTGAACATGGGAAACATCAAATCAGCTTTTACCCAAATATAATGAATAATAATGCCAAGCTAAAGAATAAAAGGGTGTGATTCTAAATGAGATATGAATTTGTTATTAAAGAATTGAGATCAGACGTTGTTAGATAACATTCTCACAAAACTAGCCGTTGAAGGGTTATCAAATAGTGCTGTTTTATACAAATATCGTCATTAGGATGTAAGCTCTTCACTCATATTACAAAAACTCTCCCTTTTCATGGTGCCAGAGCCTCTTTCCTATGTTTCATTGCAGGTGAACAACATTTTCAACTTAATTGGGTGAAATATGTGTCACGCCATCTTTACTAGTAGGACCCATTATGGTGTGAGTCCAAGCAAAACAGCACCACCAAGAGCCTTAGAACTCCATACTGAAGGTCCAGCTACTCGACATGCTGCCAATAGCCATGTCACTACTGCCCTCCGAATCTCCATTTACTCCATTCAACTGATTTTTTGTTCCATATTTCCATACACTTCCTCACGATTTCTCCCAAGAGCTAAAAAGGGGTGGAGCTTCTCAGAGCTCCAAGTCTCCAGTTCTGTTGATCGATTCATCTCACGCCACAAACACACCCCAGCAACCATTTCTAAAATTTTGGCTGCTAAGATCCATTTCATGGGCTGCTGCCATACAATCATTGCCGGTGGAAACTGTCACCATGAGGATAATCGGCCGTGGTGCGAGCATAGTAAAACAACAAGACATACGTAAGGTCAATGCTGTAAACAGCATGGCAGACCTCCAATGTCAGCCAATGCAGCTCAAGCCACAAAATCTGAAACCAAATGTTCCTAGTTCCTACACCAGTAACACTTCCTCATTCAAAATGAGGAATATCTCCACTTATGGGTTTTTAGGTCCATTTCAGTGTATGTAGGAGATATGGGTTCTCATACCATTTTTACCATTTTTAGGTCTAATCATTTTTATGGCTTAATAATCACCTCATTCGCCCCACTATTTAATCTCATACCATATCTAGTAGTATAAGTGTCTCTCACATGCAGTCTTACTTTTAACATAAACATCAACCTCATATTTATACTTATAATAGATTACGTGCCACAACTCCATGTCCCAAAAATAGCGGGATGGAGGTAGTATAACAAAAAGTAACCAGGTTACAACATCTTTTCAAGGAAGTATTACTTACCCCCTCCATCCCATATGTTTCCTCCTATTTTGACTTGACATGAGATTTAATGTAAGATGAAACGTAGTTTGAATTTCCAATTTTGCCCTTGTTAGGGACTTAGGGTAGTTAATTAAAGAGAAATGTAAAAAAGGTGATTAGTGTAAAAAGGTGAATAATGTATGAAAAGAGTACAGTAAGTAGGTTAGGTGGGTAAATGGGGTAGTAGATTAAGAAAGATGGAGTAGTAAAGTAACATATTAAATGGGATAGTGATGGATAGTGGGTTGAGAGCATAAAAGGTCTTTTGGTGTTATTTATTTGCCAAATAAGGACAGAGGAAGAGAGATGGGATGGTCATGTCTCATAAAGGAAAACTGGAAGAAAGATATGGAATGGAAGGAGTAAAAATTAATAGCTTAAGTAACTGATTGCTTAAATATATATTTTAAAAAGATTTATGATTTCATGTGTACTAACTCACATTTCACATTGATTAAGCACTGATAGTTTGTTGGGTACACAAGATTCACCACTTGATTTGCATGCCAAATCACATGATTCCCCTTGCCTTTCTCCAAGCACAATGAAGAATAGTTAGCAAAATCTGAGATTCAGATGAAATCAAACCAAAGATACATTAAAACTTGAATAACAAACCTTCCAATGACAATGTTGATCCCAGTCAAACTTAGTTTGGATTGCTTGTCAGAATATCCTAATAAACATTTAAAACAAAAAAGTTACATAAAGTCATATAAAAGTCAGATCTCAACCAAATACTCTGACGCCCCATAAAACTTTTCCACTTTGAAAAAAGGTGGGATATTTGGAATGTGTAATTTTGGTGGGTTTCTAATTTTGCCCTTACTTTATTGTAGGTTAGGATAGGATGGGATGGGTAAATGAATATTGAATAAATATGATGTGATAGATGGGTTAATAATTATTAGGGATAAAATGGAGATTTTAATTGAAAGTTTAGAAGTTTTTTTGGGATGGATGAAAGATTGAAAGGTGAAAGTGGAGAGGTTTTTTGGGATGGAGGGAGTATAAGTAAAAAAAAGTTGCATCAAGTCATATGAACAATCAACAATCAGGTTTCTTCAAATACATGTCCAAATGCATTTGGATACCTGAATACCTCAAGTAAATATGGTGCAATCATCCATTCAAACATATTATTTTCTTGAAATAATGCATTGTAAACATTGTTGTGCAACTTAGACATTGTTATATAGTCAAAATGGAAATAAGATGGCATCCTGATCACATACTCTTTAAGTTTAGCAATGGCATCACATCTTAAATAGGAAATAAGGATAAATACATTTAAACTTCTAAAAGGTAAAAGAATAATAACAATAAGTAGTATGAGTAGTAAGATAATGATAATAATTATTACTCCATATCATTCTTATTATTACTATAATTATTAATACTCCCTCCGTCCCAAAAAACTTTTCCACTTTTGATTTTTGGGAGGGGAAGATATAAAAGTTTGACCAAGGTGATACGACGACAATTGAAACAAGTTGGGCTTGGGAAATGTCAAAATGGGTAGATCGTAGAAGGTAGTTAAGGTATGCTCGGTTAGATTTAAGAAAAGTAGGGGCAATTGTATCCATATAGGCGAAATTGAAATGTTTTATGGGATGTGTAAGATGCGAAAGTTGAAAAGTTTCATGGGACGGAGGGAGTATTATTTATGGACTGTTAATCTTAACTGTTCTTTTAGATAATGCTATAGGACGCTTCATGCCACCATTCTTTAGTACACATTATCCGATGCTTCCCACCACATCATGAAGAGAATATAGAAATTCCTACAAAATTAACCAGCAGGAGAAAAGTTACATATTTACCTGAAGAATTTGATGGTATGGAGAAACAATGATGAAAGTCACCAAGGTATGCATTTTCATGGACCTGAACAATTCAACGTGTATTAAATACTCAAGCTTAGCAATAACACTCCTAATGATTCTTTGTCATGCACTCTATTCTCTAAATTAATTGAAGTGCTACCAAGAACCATTAAAAAGTAATATGATGACTGGAAGAAGAGATTAATAATACGGTGATAATTCAATACATGAGCCATATATTTACTTCTAATGTAGGGATAATCTAAAGTTTAGTGTTAATCATTTTCATAAATTGGGTTATAAGAACCGATTGATTAATTGGGTGCAGGAATGGGAGTTTAAGATATCTAAAGCCTCATATAGGTCTAACATACACTAGTTAGGTGGTTTACTCATGGAGAAACAAATGGCTAAAGAAGAATCCCAAAAATGGTGGCTGATTGTGCTATCTAATGAATTAATTGTTATTTGTTAACTACTTTTAGTTTATCTCTTTGTTGGTTCAGAAATAATTGGGCACTGTATATTTTTAGGATTAGTTTTGATTTCCCTACTTTATAGATTCATTTATTTTTGTTATCTCCTGTAATCTATTACTCCCTCCATCCCACAAAAAAGTGTCTTGTTTCAATACATCACAAAATGTCAAATTTTAACCACAGAGGCTGCTTTCATCACATCGATGCTTTTTATAAAAAGTATGTCAAACAAGTAAAATATAAAAAATAAAGTAGATGAACTAGCATATAAATTAAAGATAATTGAAGATTTTCAATACATGTACTTTACTAAAGTTATTGGATGGAGGAGCATTAAATAGGCTATGGCCGAAGGCAATTAAAACATGGAAGATTACAAGGTTCAATTACTGAGTGGAAACCCTGGGGTACTACTGAACTAGATAGTGAGAGAGATATCTTTGCTTGAAGCATTGACTAAAAGAGTAAAGAAAAGAATACTCACCACACTCTCTGAATTATGACGACATCTGCCCATGCAGAACTCGAAAACACTTGAATAATTTGCTGCCAAGTAATGTGCAACATATATTAACATTGTGAAATGCATAACAAATAAATTCTGTGTCAAGACCACAACAAAAGATCGGATCTGGTTTGAAATAGTATTCTGGACTGGAATACTGTTAGGAAGTGGTGTGTGACATAAACGGCATGGTAAGCTTCACATGGTGTGTGAGAGGCCAGAAAGGTAATGATATGATCTTTAAGGTGAGAGAAGCGCACATGTGGCAGCAGTACCGACGGCAAACATTTGGGTTGACATACATCAAGGAAAAAACAAACTTAGGGCATGTTTGGTGAGTTTTGGAGATATGATAAGAAATGAGTTTTGAAATCTGGAAGAAATGATATGAGTTTTAATATCTGTATAAGAAAGTGTTTGGAGAAAAAAGAAATGAAATTACAGTCACAATTCTTTAGTGAGCATCTAAGAAATCAAGCTGTCTTACACAAAATATTAACAAATTACAAATTTGACAAAAAAAATATTTTGCAATTTTTTTTGATTTATGATGAACTACTGAAAGAGGTATGCAAACTAAAAAAATTGCTAAAAAAACACGTAGTAAATGAAAGAGATGGCACAATGAGATGAATATGAATAAATTAAAAAAAACAGTAAAAAGCAAAGAGTAAAATGAAAGCTTTTGTTGGGGGAGGGAGGGGAAGGGGCGGGGAGTTAACAGGAGCCATATTCACTTTGATATCCCAATCTTATTGCCGATTTGAAGAAGCGGAGTATTTGGAGAGTTTGCATATCTGGTGATATCTTAATCCAACTTCTTTTTTATTCACCAAATACTAATTTTGAAAATCCGATAATGGAGATATCAAAACCCATATCTGTTAAACTCACCAAACACACCCTTAGCTTTTCAGTGAAAAGAGGTGCATAAGGGCGCGTGTGACAGTAGATTTTCCAATAATTGGTCGTGACAAGGAGATAAATCTAATGGTGTGTTCAGATTTGATGAATCACTACCACAAAATTATGCTTATTGGAAAAACTATTAATCTCACCAGAAAAAAACTATTGTTCACAGCAGGAAATGTACAGGTTCTCATCACTTAATAGAAGAGAATGAGGAAAAATTCACACAAATACTCAAAAAAAAAAAGGGCAACACTCCCAAAAGTGAAATTTTAGATGAACACTACAAAAAATAATATGGAGTTCCATGAGCAGCCCTCTGTCACCGAAGTGCACATGGAACTTCACATTAAATTTAAGAGTGCTCGTGTATACTTTCCCTTTTGGGAGTTCACCTAAATCATCCAATTTCCAAATTAATTACGACAGTAAATGTCTCGTCTCCTATAGGTAAGAAACTAATGAAGAAGAAATGCAATGTATTAATAGAATCTGTACAGCTAAATGTCTCATGTCTTTCTAATGACATCATAAAAGTGACATTATAGGAATGATACCATACTTTAAGATCGTACTTTAAAACAATGTTTACAACTATTCTTCACAAATACTTGCAGCTACTCTCCACATTCATGAATCATCATAGCTGAAAATACTTGGATTGTTGATGAAATTTATCGTTTAGATTTTCCCTTTTCTAAGAATGACTTTTAACGGAAGGTATAACATTTTGAAGAAAAAAACATGCAGATACCTGATATAAATTATTATATACATTAGGTCTAAAAAACTTCAAATAATAAAGCCATCAAACATGAAAAACCACAATGTTAGACAGGACCAGAACAAAGCAAAACAGAATATTTTATTGTTGTAAAACTGTACAAGATTATTTGTGTTCTCTAAATATAAATAGAGAATAGACCAACATGACTTTAACTAACCAACACAACTATTACAAACCAATATACCTATTAACAATAGAAACTACCCATAACTGCCTTTTAGAAACTACCCACTGTTTTTTTAATTAATTGAATATGTAAAACACACTAAACGACACCTAATCGTTGTTTGTTCACACTGATCTTCACAGCAACGTTGGTTCATCATCATCTTTAAATAAATTTGCAATGTGTTCCTTTTGATCCCATTTTGGACATTTGTTCAAAAAATGCCCAAGCTCATTGCACTTGAAACACTTAATGTGACTCTTTTCCCGTTGAAACTGTCCACCATCCCAACTTTTCCCGGACCCCCAACCTCTACCTCGGCCATGTCCAAAGTCTTCTTGGTTTGAGCTCCCACAACCACAATGCTCAGTTTAGTGCTCATTAACATTCTCTTTTCCATCACTTTTAGTGAATAGTGGTTTACCTTACATATCTCCTTCCTCGGGTTAAGGTTGGCAAACTGTTAACTATTATCCCTTGTAGTCACAATCTGTCTATTTTTGCTGTTCACTCATTGCACGACTTTTATTCCTTTGACAATTTTCACAAAATTCTTAACTTTGATTCCTTCCCGGGTCGTAAGCCACCTGCAATCGACCACCAACCAGAAAACAAGCCCCTGCTTTTACGTCTTCCAAGCCACTAAACGAAAGCTACCCCGCTGATTCATTTTTCCTGCGTTGTTTGGTTGGAATCCTTCTGCCAAAGGGAAAAACTAGCCACCTACTATTTTTGTCCTAGGCGAGGAAGAATCTTGTCGAAGATTCTTGATCTATTTTCGAGGAAGTCTCTAACGCTTTGTATTATGATCTGGCAGCCCTTCTGCTCCCGATCGTACAACTCCTGATCACAAGACAGACCGCTCCCTTTGATCGTTGGGTCCTTTTTGGATTTTCGCTCTGATACCAATTGTTAGACAGGACCAGAACAAAGCAAAACAGAATATTTTATTGTTGTATAAATAGAGAATAGACCAACATGACTTTTACTAACCAACACAACTATTACAAACCAATATACCTATTAACAATAGAAACTACCCATACTGCCTTTTAGAAACTACCCACTGTTTTTTTAATTAATTGAATATGTAAAACACACTAACTGACTCTTATACTAACTGACCCGAACATTGACTCAATAGCCATTCGGTTATATGTAATATGTGAACAAACCCGATTATATCTAACACACAAGCTGATTTTTACATTAATATATTGTGTTCCTAGAAACAATCGCTCTATGTTAAAAACATAGGGGTCAAATTGCATACATCCGACCTCACCTTACCCTGTAATGGGCGGGAGCCTTTGAGGTACTGGGGTGATGTTGTTGCTGATTGTAAATTATATTCCTGTGCATTCACCAGTCATTTCTTTTATATTGTGAAAGTTTGAAATTTAAAATAAATAATATTAGATAGCAGCTTTGGGAGACAGTGGCTCAAATTTAAACTTCCCATTAATTACATTAGAAGTTTTATCATTCATGTGAAGCCACTATTAGTGACCTACCAGCAGTTACGGGCTTAGCAATCTTCACCTTTAGTGCTAGCTCCTTTGGTGTCTGCATCATATTTAGCACTATAAGTTGTAAAGCTTATACTTCATCAATCTTTATCAAGACTTGAAGAAAGTAAAATCTGGTGCAGTAAGTTACCCTAGATGGATCAAGGCAGCATGAAACACAATACTCATATGAGTTGCAGCATTGTGCGAGAAGATTGCAACCACTACAAGAGACAAATAAATAGGAAATGATACATCTGTTTGTATTGACAGGATACAGATTAACAAACTTCACACGAGTAAGCAGATGATGCAAACCACATCATAACAGACAAGAGACAACTCACTGACAAGAGAACTGTTCTCCTTTGCCGTTACAGCAGCGAGACTGTGGATCAACTGATAGGGAATCACATACATTACCTAAAATTATTAAACACTGGATATAAGTAATGCTATACAGTTAATGTAGAACAGAACATGGAAAAGGTCAGGCACCAGAGACACATATATACATGCACCACGTATCTCTACGGAGTTTGAAAATACTTAAAAATTTTGGTGCACCATACTGACAGTAGTACAGTACCAAATATGTTGATTATGGTATCGGTTTATAACTTGAAATACAGAGTACAAAATAATTAGTGGGATTTTGATATATACTGAATTATTGTGTCCACTGCCAATGGAGCTACGATTCATTATTGACAATGTTTTAGCTTCATATAACTATACTGAATTATTGTGTCCACTGCCAATGGAGCCATATTCATTACTGATACCCCATTTTTGGGAATCGGGCCAGTCCCCCACCCTCAGTTCTGGTCTGGTTCCCTAACCCCCTCCCCTTTAGATTAAGTTTTGGTCTGGTTCTAAACTGGCAGTTCCCACTTCCCCAATTCCGGGACTGGTTCTGAACCGAAACCATCCCTACTACGGAGAAGTGTATTACCACCAAAATAGTACAAGTAAAAAACAGGAAAAGATAAAATGAATATTAGTTTAGTACAAAGAAAGTAAAGGGAAGAGAGGGAAGAAAGTATGAGGATAACGCAACGTAAGTTTAAAATCCCATTTTCTGTTGGACCTAGCTAAGACAAATCATGAGTCATAACCTGACCCAAGCACCGAACTCAACTAATTCACATTTTCCCAGATCAACATGGGACAGTGTTCGTATTGTGGAATTGACGATTAAGTCAATCTGGATTGCTCATTCCATCAATCCTATAATCATATGATCTCTAGCACATGATTTTTACAATAGCGTCTTTAATGCATATGGCTCAAATTAAAATTTGAAAGGCTTAACCTACAAATTGCCTAGCTGAACCCATGGTATTATAAACTTATTCATCATTACTATGCTTCCAATTCAAAACCATTTCCAGCAAAGAACATTGAGAAAATAATTCATGAAAGGAATCTCCACATATTATATACTACATACATGTTTACCTTCTAAGTCACCTTGATGATAGAATTTAGGATGGGTATGGACAATTGGATTGGGTAATAAGACACTTGGGTTGAACCACATTAAAAGATTGATTCCAATCGATTAGTTAGTTCAACTCAAGAGCTTATATACCGATTATTTTGCTCTTGAACTTCCGATGTGGGATACTCTAACACTTGATAATGAATTGTTCAACTGAATGCTCCCTCCCCTTCATTTTCTTCATTGTTTCCTTTTAGATTGTCTCAAATAAACTTCAACTTTCCCTTTAATGCAAAGAATTAGTTGTTGGTATTTTTCTTTCCTTTCTAGGCGAATCCATAGGGAGAATTGGCAAGTCTAAAGCAAAGTGAGCATCATATTGGCACCTGTGTTTTAGATTTCAAACTTTGAATGAGAGCCTTATTAGAATGTGGACCTCTTTACAATTAGAATAGATGAATTACTATGCATAGATGTGGATGTGCATAGCACAAAAACAAGAAAAACTACATTATGTGTGTGCCACAGAGAGAAATTAAATTATCAGTTGTTGAAGGACTTCTTGTTTGAATTAACGGTTGTTAAAGATCATGTCACATCTAGAAGGGAGTAAGAGATGAAGGAAGAAAGAAGAGTAATTTTGTGTTTGGGTCCATTGGTGGGGGTTGAAAGGAAATGAGAGGGACAGGCTATGGCTGTGTTCAATGTTGATTGAGGCCCAATAACTAAAAAAATACCCAAAAATTAACACACTCCAAAAAAGGAAATACTCCAAATTTTTCTCTACAAAATTGAGGCTTGAACCTCAATACGTCTTTGCACCATTAAACCTCACACTTTTGTACCACGAACGCCTTAAGTCATAAGCCTCATCTAAGTGGACTAAGGTTAAACCTTATGCGCATTTTCTTCATGCCTTAGTACCTCAGAGGTGTACGCCTTGCACACATTTTAGCACTTTGCACTTGTGATGGTTCATCCATAACCAATTGCACACACATATTATTAATTTCAAATAAGACTATGATCATAAATTCAATTGGAATGAATAATAGTCTTTAGAATGGAAAAATAAAAATATTAAAGACGAGAGATAATTTCGTATACAGTAAGTATGTATCACAAGACTCAAGTTGAAGATATTTGACCTGTGCATCTATAAACAAAACTGCACAGAGATCTACCCCACATAAGAAGCAAATCACAGTGATTGTGATTTGGTAATGATGTAATGACGATTGAAGACTGATTTACAATTCAGTTTCAAGTAAAGCCTAAATGTAGCCTTATCATCCACAATGCATCCACTATACAAATTATGAGGACCAAGCCACAACATAGCTCAGCAAATAGTCCACAAGTAAACAAAGCAAACACAATATGAAAATAGTTCTCTAATTAAATCATACCAGAAACCAAAATAGCACCAAGGTACAGGATCAAACACAGGTTCACACAAGAAATACCTCTATCATCAGCTATCAAGTATCTTCCTTGTACTGTCGTTCTACAAATATAATTGTCTTGCAGGCTCACATCCTTCCTACAATGCAACAAAGAGTAACAATCATGGGCAGGTCCATGTCAATACAATTAGAAACAACATTAAAAACAACTGATATGGCTGTTGTCGAGCGCATTAAGATTAAAAGGTATTCAAGAAATTCAAAACAGTTTGCTATGGAATGTCAGTGTAAGTAAATTATATTAATCAATCAATTAGAAAGCTAATTATCGTTGCATTAACTCTTCCAACAAAATAAGATTACAACATTCCAAAACTTATGATATACAGTGTCGAGGAAAAAAGTCAGAATAGGTGTGAGATGCAATATGCCCCTTATGTTTCCCTATGTGTCTATATTGGCCCTTATAACTTTTTCCCAAGTTCTGACAGGCCTAAGAAACTAAACAAAAACGAGCCAATCTTATTGAAACGGAAAATGTGTTTTACAATGTTTAAAAGATGAGTGAGAGTATGTATCTAACAGTATGAAAATTTGCAAATTGCACTGTAAAAAATACTGTTTGACTGAGAGCCATTGTCTAACATTGTACAAAGATTGTGAAAAATTGGTATTTGTAATCTTTTACACCAAACAAATGTTAAATCTAGAAAAATAATACCCCTAATTGTTTGTGATTTTTTACATTTTCAAATTTCGCCATTTATGGCCAACCGAGCCAATCCACGCCTAGACCTATAATGCGATGTCATCAGGGGTGGAAAAGATGGTACGTTTTCACCATTACCCTTTACATAAATCTGCCAAACGGATGATATCTTTGCCAATTACAGTACCTGATAGCTATGACTGTAGAGGAGATTAGAAGCACGGTGAATTGAAACGAGCCTAAAGATTTCAACAGCAGTGGCGATTTCTGCATCTCAGAGGAGAAGTTTAAATTTTGAGATCCCTATATAATCTTCTTTTGTTCAGAAATGAAAGAAAGAAACATATCTATGCGGCAAATTATATGGTAAGTAACAGTATTTTGTAAATTTTGTAAATTTTGCAAACTTTTTATTCAATGCCCAGCAGATTTGAGAATTATCATATTCTTATTCAATACAAACATGAATAAACCTGAGTTTTAAATTCTTCATGCTCAGAGATTATAAACGAGTAGGAACAAATAGAATAGAGGAAGAAGTTGATGATGGTACTGAACTTTTTAATTGTGAAAAAATTGAACAATACTTTATTTCAGAATGAACATTTCCTTATTTGAAAATGAGTATTGTTTTTTTAAGAATGAACACTATGCTATTTATTATAATTATGTTAGACAAATGTATAAAAATGAGTACTTCTTTATTTTAAAATGAGTACTACCTTTGTCAGAATGAGTACTACGTATTTCGAAATGAATGTTTACATTTGTACGAGAATGAGTACTACTTTATTTCAGAATGAGTACTATCAGGATGTACCTATTTCTAGGTACATCCGGATTTACCATATACCAACTCTATCTATGCTTTATTTTAAAAAGCAAATTCCATAAAATGTTCTCAGTTATATATAACTATGTTTGGTTCAAGAAATTTGAAAGGAAAAAGAAAAGAAAATAAAGTGAAAAATAGTTTTTCTTGTTTGGTTAGAAAGGAAAAGGAAGAAAAAGTAGATGGAAAGAAAAATGAGAAGGCAAACTATATAAGTGGAGGACAAACCAAATTCCTCTCATTTTGGTGAGGAAAATGAGAGAAAATTATTTTCTTTTCTTTTTCTTCCAAATATCTTGAACCAAACATAGTATTAATACTTACATATCAAATATTATTAATTTAGTCTCTAATTATTATATCATTTTTCACAAATGGTCCTTTGTTAATGTTTTTGTTAAGAACATGGATAAAATAGTATATTCCTACTTCTCTCTCCTCAATTAAACTTTCTCCCTCCTCTCGTACTCTTTCCCAAACTCGTCGCTGGCTTTGAAGCTCTAAACCCAAAATTGAAATGATCATTCCTCTTTCAATTATTAGTCTGCCTGGTGGAACCTAGAATCAAAATCAATAAGCTTTATGGATGAGTTTTACCGTTAGTCTCAATAAATTGCAAAGAAAATAAACATTAAAACTCATCCATGAAGATTACTGGTTTTGAATTTGGGTTCCACCAGTTAGACAAACAATTAAGAGAAGAGTGGTGATTTTAGTTCTGTGTTCAAAGCTTCAAATTCAGCGACAAACCATTTATTACGATTCTATTTTGAAACTGAATAGTAAAATATCATATCCATGTTCAGACTGTGTCAAAAATTGAACATGAATATCTCAAATAACATTAAAATAGAACAAATCCTTTATATATAATATTTGGGAGTTAAACTCCTAGAAATTCGACATGTGGCAGGCTACTTGGCAAATTTTTTTACACATCATCAGCCACATTTGATGACTTAAGTGACTTGGCAATTTTAACTTAAAGTATGAAAACATCTTATTAGAGCAAATATTCATTCCCAATTATGGCACATATGAAAAACTTTTACGAGGTATATGTAAAGTAATTATAATTTGGAGGTTATAAGTATTAATTATAAAACTTTCAATTAATTGCTAATGACATTTATTGGCTAATCCTTCCTTTTATTATAAAATTTGAGACTCTGGCTTACATGAAATTGGCATGTCACGAGCTAATATGACATTTTTAATAAATCATCTGTTGTCTATTTATTATTTTAATGAGTTGGTAATTTTAATCAACATACGAAGTACTAATGTGACATTATTTTATTTTATTTTTTAATGATTGAACATAGTGACTAAATTATTTGTCTTTTTAGTTTCATACAATTAGTCTTAAGAATTAGTAACTCTATTGTTTTTAACACCCAGTTCATTTTTCGAATGATATGTTTGACCAATGAAATTTTTTATCCAACATATTTTTTATTTTGAGATTATAGTCTAATTCTTAATATTTCAATTCATTATATATTTATATAAATGATTATTCAAACATTTGACAGCAAAGCAAACTGAGACAGTTAATGAATAAAGTTTTTAGAATTATTTAAACATACCAATTTATTTACCATATATACATATAGGGGGGGGGGGGGGTAAAGAACACTTTCTATTTTTGGATTTAGAATTACTCCCTCCGTCCCATTAAGATCTTCTCATTTTGACTTTTTGTGGTTTTAAAGAGAGTTGAAAAAAATGTGAAAGGTTACCATAATACCCTTAATGAAAATGGGTGGAGTGTATTAAATGAGGTAGGTGAGGTGTAATAAATAAAGTAAGTGGGGATAGTTGTGGTATATATTTTAATTGTTAAAAAGGTAATGAGAAGATCTATGATGGACAAATAAAAAGGGTTAATGAGAAGATATACGAGGGACGGAGGGAGTATATTTTTGCATAAAAAAGTGATAAGATTCATCCATTTTTATGAAATAATTAATGATGCACCTACTTCTCTGAATGAGTTTTATTAATTTTATATTTAGGTTAGTGGTCTTATGCTAAACAAAAAGAATGGGTTTGGTTGCTACATATCTTGAAAAAAATGACCATGTTAAAACTCCTCATTGTATAAGTAGATTTAATCCTCTCATTTAACTTTTAACGCTCTCCAATATAATATTTTGATCATTAATATCAATATTTATACTTATCGTATCTTATGAAAATTCATATTTCAAAACAACGTTTTAAAAAAGATTATTGATATTGCATTTATAGATAAACAAAAATTGTTTTTCATATATCGAGGCCAATCTTTATCTTTATATATTAAATTTAAGAGTTAAACTCATAGAATTACAATAAGTGGTGAGTCTACATGGCAACATTTTAACAAATCATCCGCAACCTATACGGATTACGAAGTGCCACTATAATTATTTGGAAGGAAAAACTAAAATAAGATTAGAATAGGGAGAAAGTGCCAAAATATGAGTTTCATATTTTTAATCTCCAAAATATTAACTACAATATCAATATTTTATTATATAGTGCTAAAAACATTATGAAATGGTACTATACAGTGCCACAACGTCACTCTGTAAACTTTATTTAGGAAATAAAAATATTGAACTCTTATTCTGGGCATAAGATTTATGTCTTACTTCTATTTGAGTGATTTTTTTTAGTTTTGTTTAGGAAATATATACAGAGTAATATATATGGAGTAGTAACTACCAAAAGTTTCCTTCTACACTTATATTAACTTATATATCTTTTTTTATTTTACAAAATCATCATTTTTCCTCCAACTTCTTGGGAACCTCTTTGCATATCTTTCTTTTTTTCTTCTATAGTGTAGATAGGTGAAATTGTGAAAACTGTTGTGTAATTGATGATGTACTCATACTTCATTTGGTAAGTTTAAGGGAGGGCATCATGAGTAATCTATTTAAAAAGGAAATTGATAGCATTATTTTTTGGTGAATTATATTATTTTCTATATTCTTTGCGGAGCTTACGAGAACAGATTTCCAATTTTGTTGATCGGAACTCCAAAATTTATTATTTAGCTACTAAACATGAAAAGATTCCTTTTTTCTATATAACGAGGTTAAAGTATACAAAATTTGACCAAGAAAAGTCAAATGGAAATATTAAATCGGAATGGAGACTTATAAGATCGAGACTAAGTTACAAGTTACAACCACATCAAAGAGAAATATAATTTCAGATTTATAATTATTTGTATTTTGATAAAACATTTTGTATATTGACGAGAATATTGAATGATTTTGCATTATAAAAGTGAAAAAGAAAAGTTTGCATATGATCTTATGAGATACTTATCTACGATGAATGAATATCAGCACAATATATACGATGAGATAATGGAAGTTGTGACACCTGAAAGAGGAGGTTTCTTTTTTATGTATGGTCACAGTGGAACTGAAAAAATATTTTTTTATGGAAATAAATGTTTATTTCTCTAACTTCAAATGATAAGATTGTTTTGAATGTCACATCCAGTGATATTGCAATATTACTTTTTCATGGGGGAAGGACATGGGTGAATGACATTACACTTGAGATTCTCAATCTCTTTGGGTGATTGCATAACGTGTGCCATCAAACAAGAGAGTCCGAAAGCAGAACTTATCCAACAAGTAAGTCTAATAATATGGGATGGAGCATGTATGATGAATAGATTTATTTTTAAGGTACTGGATCACAAAATGAGAGATGTAATGAATTTCTCTAATAAAAACTCTATAAATGAACCATTTGGAGGGAAAATAGTTGAATTCGGAGGGGAAAAAGTAGGACTCGAAGGGAAAATATTTGTACTCAGAGGTGATTTTTGGCAAACTCTTTCTGTTTTACCCAAAACTTCAAGAGAGAAAAATTGTGAGTGCTATCATCTATTCTTTAAAATTATAGTCGTATTTTAAAATTTATATGTTAGCGAAGAATATGATATTACATTCTTCTACGTCCTCTATCCCAGATTCCCAGGGACACACAAATTTTTTCTGATTGGATAATTAAAGTTAGAAATGAAAAACTTAGACAAGTGATTGATGAAACAATTGACCTTAAAATTCCGCATAAATTATTAATTCTAGACACAAGTTATATTGTGAAGAGTATAGTGGACTTCACTTATCCTAATTGAACTTATTGGAGACTGGAGAGTATGAAAATTTATTCATTTTTTAGGATAGGGCACTACTGGACCATGCTTGAGGTTGTAGAAATGGTAAATGAATTTGTCATATCCCTCATTCCCTAATATGAAATGGTGTGCCTGAGTTTTGATTTTTCATGTCAGGCCGATTCAGATGTAATTATTGATGACAATTAAATAACAATTAAATTTTAAATGAAATCAAATGTTTGGGAATCCAAAACTACAAAATAATCTTAAAAATGGGTTAACGATTTTGATGTTGAGAAACATCGACCAAATATATGGATTATGTAATGGTACACGATTAATCCTTGAAGAGATGTGAAAGAATGTTGTTGGTCTATTGTGG